TTTACAGTATGTCATAATCTCTCTATACACGAATGATACATTTTACCATGTAATAATTTCCTAAACAAATTATTCTCTTCGGCATTCTGGGTACATGCTCGTGACTGAACTTTTTGTTTAGTACTCACACTTCTAGTAGAAGCCGCTGTAGCCGACGCGGCCGAGTCCATGACCATAGCCGAGGCCATAGCCGGACAGTCCGTAGCCGTAGCCAAGGCGGTGGCCATATCGAAGACCATAGCCGGACAGTCCGAAACCGTAGCCAAGGCGGTGGCCATATCCGAGACCATAGCCGTAACCAAGACCATGGCCGTAGCCAAGGGTAGAGACAACTGGAGCACGGTGGACGGTAGAGTAGGGGGAGGTCAAGGGGGCAGCCACGGAGTAGCCACCGTAGCCGAGGTAGCCAGCGAAGGCGCAGGCGGCCAGGGCCAGGACAAGAACGCAGCGAAACTGCACAAAAATATGGTGAGGTTGAACGTGAGAAGGTTGCTGCAATTTCACAGTAATAAAATTAGAGGCATAGTAGGAAGAAAATGTCCAATCGTTTGTAATCTTTATATTGTCTAACCATATAATATAGGATGACAGAAACAGTAGTTAGTAATTTATTATGTCTTATAAATTGCCAGAACTAAAAGAAAGCTAGGGTAACGCCTTGCTTGGATAGCTCACGTAATGCTAAACTTCTTTTTTAATAAGTACCATCCTATCACGTAACTTTTGGTGTGAAGTGATTTATTCACCACATGTCTCTGATTGCGCAATGAATGGAATTTTAGCCCCGAATTATTTCGGACTGAGCGCTTTGACAATTCGAATTGTTGTGCAAAACAAATTGATTGTAAATAATTTCATTTTGTCTTTAAAACCATACAGTTACAACGATCGACTACAAAAACCAAAGACCTTTTCCGCTAATGAGATCAGATATGTCACACTTTTTACAAATATAGCCTATTAGCCAAAGAACGAATGAATGATCCTGAACTGTTATGAACTTAGCTAGAATGCATACGTGAGCACAGGCTATAGCATAATGTAGTATAGCTTGACAACGTATCCTCGAGGCTGGGGTTTGGTTAAAAATGGAGCTCTATGACCGCCAAAGGTGGAATCTGCCAACTGGCGGTGTGATGAATCATTTTGTAAAAGTGTTACTGGCAGATTTCTCACACTTAAGACCGTTTCATTAATAAAGTATCTTGTTTTATTAGAAGTGCACAATATTCTTGATTGTAATAGCGAATATTTGCTTGAGAATATCCAATCCTATAATTCTTGATTGTGATGGCGAACATTTGCCTGAGAATATCCATTGCTATAAAAAATCTCACCATGGCTGAACGTATTATTCTTGCTGGATAAGCTCGAACTGATGAAATGCGCTTATAATGTTCGCTTTATATACTGCACCTTCCATGGCTTTTTTATTATTATCTAAAAATTGTCGAACATCGCTTCAATATATACACCACATATATTTATTGCTCCTAAACGATAAAACTATAAAAATATTCAACGCAGATTAAGTGTTCTTAACAAAATACCCACGTTCCATTGCATTCTTTGGGTCACGATTTCTATTTAGATACCGCTGATGTGTCTTCCTTTAACAGTATAACAAATTTTCCGTTTACCATTTTTTTAGATTACCTGAGACTGGGTGGAAGAAACACGACGAACGTCTCGTGTTTCTTCCACCCAGTCTCAGGTGGTCTGAAAAAATGGTAAACTTACACCAGCTCGCCTGCGCCCTAACTGTTTTTTTCAAATTTTCCGTGGCAGTTTTTTTTTTCTTTTCTTGAAAACATGTTATATGTTCATGCACTCGTCTCGGTAGGATCACTAAGTTAGACAAAAATGCAACGCACGTCACGTTTCGAAACAAAAAATTAGAAACACCTTTGAATGCAATTTTTTTTATAACATCCTGGTCTTGGTATGTTAGGCAGAAGAAATACATAGATTTATTTTTTGTGCTGTTTTCATGCACATTTGAACGCATTAATCAAAGCTTTGTTCACTCGCATCGAGACAGACATTTGCTTGGATGGTGTACCATATATGTATACCTTTCTATATTTATTCGTGTGCATGTAATTTAAAGTAATATATTAAAATAAATTTAGATTAGTGTTTGTTTTTGTCACTTGGGCATATTACATGATAGCACGGTACATTACCCATCATTTTTAGAATGAGGTGCATTCTGATTTCGAACTGCACAATCCTTATTCTCTTCTCAGTCTTCTGAGGTATAAAATATACCGTAGTTTTCGTAATTTTTATCCCCCATTCTCTTATTATCACCGCGAACATATTTGGAAAAATATTGATGTATCTGCAATAAAATACGATTTAATTCGATTGCAGCGAAATCAGTTGCGAGTAGGCGTTCTACAGCAACAGCTGTAGAACGCCTACTTTTTCGGTTTTTTCCTACAGTCGACCGCTGTAACAGCTGAGCTAGCGACGGGGAAAATTAAAGTTACTGAAAGGCGGTATACTTTCCGTTTCTTTCTGCTTTTGAAAACGCCCCGCCATTTCGTGAACCTCAAACCTGCATGCTACGCCAGAAGGCGTAAGAAGGGTAACGAACGCCCTTGAAGAGCCGGAAGTTCTAAACGCACACCTTGCCGTTATTATTTAGTGACTATGCGCCGAAAATCTGAAGGAGGGTAGGAGACGAAAGCGCACTCTGATGCCAGAGCGCCAAGCTCTGACTGAACGGATCAGTGGGTATGCACAAATCCAACTGCCTCTGTCTCTACTCACACCTCGAACCCGGTCGATGACCATGCGAACGTCGAGACGGCGTGATGTGCGATCCGAACCCTTTTTTGCACATTCGACCTGTCTGACTTGAGACCGAAGAAGCGTTTCTGTCGGGCCTCGGTTCAAGTGCTTGGGAACAGACGTTACCGTGGGCGTGTTTTGCCTATGGCGTTTACGGCGTCTGCCTTCCACGGAGGAGTCTGAATTCCACGAAAACGCCCCACACTTTCAGATCCTGAACGGATGTGTAGTCTGTTTTGTCTGCGTTTCCCGCCTTCACTTCGGGCAACGAGTCCTCGGCGATGGAAGAATGGACGTCAGCATGAGCCCTGGGGTCTTCAAACGAGCGACACCAAACCTGACTTCGAACAACTGGTTGGCAGCGGTTGGGATGAACCATACGACATCGTGCTGCTCCTTTGGGTGAGCGTTCGGACATTGCTTTGAAATTCGCCAGGCTTCAGAGTTTGGGCAACTAATTTTGAACTGCTAGAAGTCAAACACTTGACCAGGAGCTGCGTATGATAATCTTGCGAGAAAGGTTGGAAGCAAACCTGAAGCTAAAAACATGGACCTATTGGGCTTGCTGAGAACAGATTTGCTAAATTTGTTTATGCGAAACGTTGGGCGTGGAGGTGGAGGAAAAGAAGAAGAAATGTGCTGTCTGTAAATCAATTTCGAAAAGCGCGAAAAACAAGAAAATTACAGTTGCCTGTGACCTGATTCAGAAAGTTAGAAATGAGAAGGCAAAAGGCCAGGAACAATGACGAGCTCCCGAGAAAGAAGGGCGAGAACATCGGCTAGCTGCCGAAAAAGAGGAGCGGGAGCTTAGAAATATGCAACTAGAAATCGAACGACTGCGTTCTCAGTTGAGAGCTGAGATTTCATCCGGGGCAGGCGAGGTGTAGCGCTTTTAGATGAACAAACACCGGGAGCCATTTATTGTTGGCGAGAATGTAGGGCTATGTTTAGCTAAGACCTGCAAGAAGCTGAGCTTCGCCCTTGAGACGTGGTCGCAAAGTCTACTGACGTTATTGCCCGTGAAGCTGCGGAATTCGTTACGATAAGTGGAAAACACGGAGACTATTATGAGATAGTTAAATCATGTCTGCTAGAAAAGTAGCGCCTTTTGGCCGAAGCATCCTCTCAGCAGTTAAAGACCGGACGTACAGGACTACGCGTTGAGACGAAAGGACATGAGCGCACGACGCGTACAAAACTCAGCGGAGAGGACGACGATCCCGACAAGAAATATACATGCTCCGAGTAGCACTAAAACGCGTTAGCAAGTAGTGTAGATATTCTGTCAAACGAGGAGGTTGATGAGAGAGAATCAGATTTTACCAACGAACATCGTATTTTTGCTGACGGAACGACCGACGCTGCTTTGTACAAGAAGGACTCAAAGTCTGAAGCGCTGATGGTTAGGATTGGCCGCGATCGCGTCAAAGAAGGTCAGGCTTCTCAGTCGTCTGACGGCTGTATCCTTGAGGGAAAAAAGCAAGACGAACATGGTGACAACGATAAGGGGAGCTTATCCGGTTCACAGAAGGCGGCTCGGAGCAGGAAAACACGGCGGATTCAAAATGTGAGCTAGATATGGACTGTCCTAGTGGACACGGGTGCAACTCCGAAACCAAGTCCTGGGCCGGTTTTCTCGAAGCGATGGTAAACCCATTTTAGTAAACCACGGTACCTAGGAAGGAAAAAGTACCTAGGTAGTGTAATAAACGGCTGGATATAAAACCACAATAATTATTTTTGATTGGGCAGTAAGATGCGTCATCTATCGGTGAAACAAGCCAGTCATTTTGTTTATTCTCTTTTTCCGCTGGTTGTTATCGCTCTAGTATGGTATTTTAAGTCAAAATATAGTAATGTTGTACTTGAAGACCAATTTATTTGCTTCAGATGCTACGAAGAAATTTTAGCTACCATGCTAGAGTTTGTCGACGAATATTTGAAAACGTAAGAAACATTTCCTTCAATATGTTTCGCCATAAACAACGCATAACTTTCCCCGAGTCCCTTCCAGTCTGGCAACGCCGCTGCTGTAGTCTCGTTTTTGTTCCCTGCGACGCACGTTTCTACGATTCCTGCTGATCTCAACTGCTTGCCCTCTCTTCCGTTTGCCCAACCGATCCACCGATTAGCCCACCGACCGACTGCGGACTTACTAACAACTGATTTGCGGACCTATTTGTACTTTGATAACGGAAACGATGTCGAACGGGACGAGGCGTCGACGTCGACGAGACCGCGCGTACGCGCAGTACGCTGTCGTCATGCTGGGACGACAACGTGTGTTCCGGGACCGCCTCGATCTGCTGGAAGAATTCGACGAGGATGCGCTGGAGCAACGATTCCGGTTTGGTCGCGCGGGAATTATGTTTCTCGCGGAGACGCTGCGCCCGAACTTGGAGCGGTCGACGCGTCGCAGCTGCGCCCTGTCCGCAGAGCAGCAGGTGATCGTCGCTCTGCAATTCTACGCCACAGGCAACTTCCTCATCACTGCAGGCGACTATATTCACGTGCAAGTCTCTAGTGCTTCACGGTCCGTGTGTCAGGTCACCGTAGCTCTGGCACGTCGAGCAAGGGACTTCATACGGTAAGACTTCATACGGTAAAGAGTTCCTGAGCCGTTCCTAGTCAAAAAAAAAAAAAAAAGTCAGATTGTGTTGAGTTTGTTGATGAGTAAAGCTATACGCACTCCGTCGTTCACCTCAGCCGGAAAGGGCTACACGCACTACGCGAAACTGCCCTCCAGAGAAAAGGGAAAGAAGGAGTTACCCTCTTATCAAGATCCTCCTTTGTGCCTCCCGGGTTTGCACAAGCGTTGCTATTCTCCTGCCAGATGATTAGAGAAGATTAGCCCATTACTCAGCGTTCTTACAAAGGCAGCTTCCCTCTCCTCCTTTTACTTGGTGTTCAAAAGTATGCGATGTGACGTCAGTGCAAGGAGCTTATAACACGAATGGTTACAACGTGTTTTATAAGCGGTGGCATAGCTTAGAATTAAAAAAAAAAAAAAAAAAAAAGATGGCATAGCATAGGGGCATACACCGTGCATAGGGTACCCCCCTATGCACGGTGTATGCCCCTATGCTATGCCATTTTTTTTTTGTGTCTGCTTCATACATAAGTGGACACGGGTTCGATCCGCGGTGTGGGCCCACTTTTTTTTTTCTCGAACATTTTGTTTTGTCGAGGCATTTGGCGATATTTACGACATTTCTTTTTTACGATGAACACTGAAACAGAAAAAAAACGAATAATGTCGGCTAAACTTTGCATAAATGTGCATGCTAGGGTATTGTGCTGTAAATTAACTTGTGAATGTATTGGCGATTTCAGGTGTCCTGACGTCGCAGAGGGTGCTGACTTGCAGGAGCAGTTCTTTGACGTAGCCGGGTTCCCTTGTGTCGTGGGTGCTGTTGATGGTACTCACATTCGAATCCAGGGACCGCGCGTGCACGAGGAGGTGTACGTGAACCGCCACCTGTACCATTCCATCAACGTACAGGTGGTAGTTGACGCATCCTGCCGCATAGGCAATGTGGTTGCGAGATGGCCAGGAAGCACGCACGACTCCCGGATTTTCACCGAGAGCACACTATCAGTCAAGCTTGCCGATGGCGTCTACGATGGCCTATTGCTCGGCGACAGCAGCTACACCTGCCAGCCGTGGCTGATGACGCCCTTCCTGTCGCCATCATGAGCAGCAGAAGTGAGGTACAACACGGCACACACCACGACAAGGAGTATTGTTGAAAGGTAAGACAAGGTCACGCATCGTGGTAAGTTACTGGGCTGCTATATTGAAAAGAATGCCACTAGACAACGTAACGTTTTGTTGTCATAGCACAGAAGACACTGTTAATTGTAACGCCCCTACATACAGTTTTGTGTTCTCTAGACCAAGCAGAAAACAGTGGTTGCACGGAACCTAAAGATAGAAGAAAGAAAATACTATCCCAAGAATATATATTTATTTATTGTACTTTCCAGTGTCCCTATACAGCCCGAGGGCCTGCATAAGGGTGCACCGTAGACACATATATGCAGTGTTGCATAAAAAGCAGACACGCAAAACGCATGCATAGTATCAAGAAACAAAAACGTGAAATATTCTCCAACAAATTTTTTGGAGAACATATCACATTGTTCGTTCGTTAGGGGCAGGATTTGTTACATACGTGTGAAAGGCAATATTTTGGTTCAACCTGGATACAGAAGAGCAAAAAAATACAAATGCAAAGCCGTGTTTTTTTGTTTTTTTTCCGGCCCCACCTTTACAGAAATTACACGCCTACTTGTCATACATTCTAAAATACTCCACACTGCAGGGACTCGCCGTAAAAATCTGACAAATTGCACCGGGCTCGGGTTGCTATAGGGAAGTCGTTGACAGCCATCTTCGGACGGCTAATGTTAACGACTGTTTGTATGAAACTGTGTTTCGCTTACACTCAGCTATGAGGAACGTTTGTCGAGGGAAGTTTAATATGGTGTACATGTAAACATACTGTTATATATCTGGGCAATGATAAGAAATGATTGCCGGGTTTTTGGTAGGCTACAGCATTCAGAAAGTATGAAATAGTCTCAGCCCTAATACATTAGTGTAATTTAAATAAATAATACTCATTCTGTCCATATGATGCACGCAGGACACTAGGCCAGCTGAAGCGCTGGTTCCACTGCCTGCACGCCGAGCTGCGCATGGAGCCAAGCAGATGCTGCGACATCATCGTGGCATGCTGCGTGCTCCACAATCTCGCCAAGAGATACCCCTGCGCGATGCCAGGGACTGCCATCCCGCCTGAGGTTCCTGTGGAGCCCATGGCAGCCGGCCGTGGAGAAAGCAACGAGGCCCGGCGTGCCCTTGTCGACCAGTTCTTCTGTTGAGCGTAGGTATGTGGGTATGTGGTCTTTTCCGAAATTCAAACTCATTTTCTTGAATGCGAGAAACATACAGAGATATTGTCCTCTCTGTGTGTTTACCAGGTTCCGTAAATGGATAACCATAATAACAAGTTGAATGTGGCACGCGATTTCATATAATAAATTTTCTTGAATGCTTCGTGGCATCTTTTGACTGTGGGTTTACCAGCGGCTAATATAAGGGGCTGAACCAACCCCAACATATTCCTTGGAGAACATAGATATTTTAGATCTTTATTAAGCACTCTTCATGTATGGTTTCAATACGAGGGTAAACAGGCTTTGCGGAATTCACTCGTTGCAAAAGAATGGAAGCGTTGGCAGATATTAGAGCAAGCAGAAGTTGTGCTGCGACTGCTATCCACCTTTATTTGCAAAAGCGTCGCTTAGAGACGATGCAGCGCCCGTCGTATGCCGCTCAGGCTTCCACCCTCATATTGAAGACATCTGTACCCTTTCCTGATTCCGAACATTGTAGCAGAAAGAGTGCCTCAAGCATTGCAAAACATATTGTCTCGCAAACCCTCTTCATTGCAGCATGTTTTTTGTTGGTTGCAACAATGACATGCACTTAAGATGTAATGTGGCGGTGTCCAAACAAGGTAACTCTTCTGAACAGCGTTGCAGGCACGGATCAGAATCATTCTCGCCTCATCCAGTTTCGGTATGTAGTAACAAATGCCAAAGATTGATTGACATATCTTGCAGCGTACCTCATTGTAAAAGGTTAGAGTTGGTCAAGCAGCATAATTGCAACTGCGTTTAACAGTGAAATTGCTGCATGACCCATGAAACCACATACGCAAAAGTCCTGCAATATATTGCTGTTGTGTGCCTCGGTCAACAGTGCGTGCGGCTTTTGTGCGAAAAGCTTCGGCCCACTTCTGCGTGTTGGTCATCGTGCTTGTCTTCGTACTACAGGCCACGCGAACATCAATGCCCTCAGTGCGAGTAATTATAGGGGTGAGCGAAATAATAGCCTTAAAAATAATACCATTTAATTTTATTGCGCCTCTGTCCTATAAGTTGGTACCATTATTATCATATTTAAAAGTATTCTACAGGTGAGAGGAGTCAACCTGTATGCGTCACAGTAGTGGCCTGATTATAGCAGCCACTAATGGGTCATGTACTTACAGTGCTAATCAAACTTGTCTATGACGCGCGAGCGAGCGGCTTTCTCCGGGGAGCGCTGGACTGGTGGCATTCGCGGAAACCAAGCTAGTCACGTGGCGCAACATGGAACGGCCCGCTCGAGGGGTGTCCTGCCCGCTCTATCAGCTTGATAAGCGATAAAAGTAAAGTGCTTTATGATATATTTGAGTTTTTTGATGAGGACATCGTTGATACGTTTTCATGCTTTAGTGTGTTTACTGCTCGAGCAATGATGTTTGTAAAAAGCGTGCGAGCAGCCTTCCGTGTTCGCCACCAGCTGATAGAGCGGGCAGGACATCCCTCGAGTGGCCCGTTCCCTGTTGTGCCACGTGACTAGCTTGGTTTCCGCGAATGTCACCAGTCTAGCGCTCCCCGGAGAAAGCCGCACGCTCGCGCGTTATAGGCAAGTGTGATTAGCACTGTACATAAGAGGAACAATTCTGTCATTGGTTATTGCACTTAGTAAAAGAGTAAAGGGTGTATAAAATCGCTGTCGAACAACGTTGAAGTATGGTAATGCCTGTTTACTTCGGGAAGTGAACAAAGAGAGTACAGAGTTCCTGAACGGTGTAAATTGCGAGACACACTTTCCTCGAACAAATTAGGCACACCGAGTGGTCACACCAGTCACCATGCATTTAAACGCATAATCACTGTTTGCGCCGTGCAGGCACTTCCTAGGTTATTTGCTTACTTGCTGTTTTGCTTTGTGCCTAGTCGAATTGTTAAGCTTCTTTCCTTAGTGCCCAACAATGATGTTTTTGACGTGTCGACAGGCTTGCACACATGTATGGAAACTCAGCTGGTTAGATTGCCGCTGTTGTCGGATACCAATATGGTACTCTGGAATACTGGGGAGGCGATAAAAATATTTCATTATTCGTTAAAATTACTTGCACCATCTTACTGGCTGTCGCATAGGGTCGAGTGTGTTTCTCCAGGGACGACTACCCCAAAACATACTGAGGTTTTCACAAATCCTCGCATTTCAAAATGTGCTTTATTATTTCACATCCGCCCTTGCTTCGTCAATCTAAAAAAAAAATCGTAGAACTTAATGCCCCCCCCCCCCCCCTTCGCCTGTTCTGATTACTCCTTTCCCAATTGTTTTTTCAAAAGCTCAATTTGAAGTTCAGCCTGCAAGGTTTGTAGCCTTTGCATTTCAGTGTAATACTGTTTAGCAGCATCTGCTGCAGCGATGTGCGCATTGGAGGCATCTAGGGCTCTTTTTGTTGCCTCCCTATCCAACAGGAGGTTCTCCGCCTCCATCCGCTGCTGGTCCTCAGCTTGCTGCTGATACCTCTGCGCAGCTTCCAGGCGCCAACGTCTCGTCTGCAAGACAAGAGGAGCTGCTGCCCACTCTTCTGCTACTGCCACCCTTTGGCCGCTTCCTGACGCCCGAGGCTGCGGCGCTGCCGTTTGCCTCAAGCTATCGCTGTGACAAATGAATATGCAGGAAGTGATTTGCTGTAGTTATTAGAAGTGTGCAGGCAACATACGTATAACATACAGTGTTTGTAACCCCGACGGGTTGCTGGAATTTTGCCACAGTGTACTTAACTGTAGAACAGAAACTCTCTGATGCTTCAAGCATCTCCGATTGGACCACACACATGGTGCTCATGCAGAAATCCATGCTCACCTCAATATCCCGAGAAACTGCCCACCCAAAACTGAGAGCACATTAGGTAAAAATAAGGGGTAGGCTAACATTCGGTGTTCACAAGGTAGCTCAACTTGAGCCATTGAAAACTACTCAACTTCAATAAAAATTCCAGGAATATGAAAAAACAAATGGCGGTATCTTTGTGTGAAAACGCGCTCTTTCGAGACGTCATCTGGTCATTTCTCTGAGTGAAGTAGTGGCGGCTATAAGACCTATGGAAATAAGTGCCTTTAAGTTGATTGTGTCAAATAGCTCGTCAGCGCGAGTAAAACAACTACTCTGCGGCGACTTGACCGTATACAATATTTTCTGCCATTTCTGTAAAAAACTGGTGCGCCTCCGATTAGTCCTGGACCAATGCATTCCAGTTAAACAAAACGCAGTGTAGTGAACGAAAGAGCATCATGAAAGATTGTGTTAAAAGTGCTTGTACTTTACCGTGAAATATATTGTATTTATATACGTTATGCCAAGTACATATATGCACCCGGTGTACTTACTAATTTACTTGAAGTACATAACCTCTCATTTACTTCGTACTTTACTTCAAGTCCTTTTTAGATGTACTTTATACAACACTGTAGAAAAGCAAACACTGTCTAAACAATCAACCTCAGACGGTGCTAAACCTCAAAGTACAAATGACACATTCGCAGTACATCATTGACCAAAAAAACAAGAAAGTACAAAACAATTAGACACGCAGAAGAACAAGCTATTAAAGCATTTCTGTAAAGAAAACAAAAACAAAAACAAGCAAGCCGATTCATATTTGGCAAGCACATGTTCGCTAACGAATCAAAGCCTCTGTACTTACTTTTTACCATAAAAAAACATATCAAAGTAACTTCAAAGTAACTTCAATAGTAATTCGCTACTTTTTTACGGTAATTAGTAATTTTCTCAATTACTTTCTATTTGAGCAATTTCTACTCTACTCAAATTACTTTTGA